CTTTCCACTGACTTCAATTAATTTCCAACTCACTTCTATGGCCTAACCCAGACCTTTACCCTAACCCTAACCAATACCTAGTTGTTCCAAATTATACATACATATATATATATATATATATGTGGGCATGACTGAATTTACACAAGCATGTGTGTTGAAGTACATTTATAGCATCCTATTATATGTGTCAGGATGTTGTAAATGAGTCAGGGTGATTAAAGTGTTAAAGAGACGCCATTCTAAATACAACAATATAGGAACAGACTGACTACCTTCTCAAACTGCTATTTCTCCTACTTTTTAAATTTTTTGCTTAATCTTAAAAGAGTTTCCTTTCAAAGGTACACTCACCCTAGTTCTATAATGATTCTGTAATAATTTCATTAATTATTACTACGCTTTCAGTTTTCAAACTTGCATATCACAATTTATACAAATGGCACCATCTTACTATACTATTTTACCATTACACCAAATTATGTTTATACCAAAAGAGGGATCAGACTTTTCATGTGCATCCTCTCTCCTATTGCATTATAACCAATGTTAAAAAAAGATAAAAACACAGCAAGCAATCTTGGTCAACACTATCTTAAATTTTTTGATAAAGGCTAATAAATGTAAGTGAAAAATTATTATATTACAATACAAAAAAAAAATCTATATTTCACCAGTAGCATCCATAAAAGCCTGCTTCTCCTTCATTGTCAGCCTACATAGTTAAGATATGATTCAATCACTTTTTAGCAATGTGTAAAAATCCATTGTAATCTATACAATGAAGATCCTTTAAAAACCATACTCTTTTTGGACTTTTGTGTAATTTTAGATGCATGAATTATTATCCTCGGTGTTGTTAAGTGAAAAATCAGTGCTTAAGCATCAATGTATTTAAGCTGAGAGCTTATGTGATTGTTAGTGCAGGATTGCATCAAGCAAGATCAGGCAAGGTCCTGTAAAGGATCTGGGTTATTAAACTAATTCTGAGAATAATAACTCAAAAAGTTATTTTTTTTCATCAGCATTTCTGTAAAATCAGTCCAGTTGTTAAAAATGCATAATTTTCTGCTAAAGTTACTATAGTATGAGGCTGGAAGAAATAATAATAGGCACACAACCCTTTAACGTCCTTGTCCAACTCCAGCCTGCATTTTCCTATGAAAATGATCAACCGTTTGGTTGACCAGGCTGTAAAAGGGCTAAAAAACACTACAAAGCACCATACAAAAGAGCATGAATAGAAAAATTAAGTAAAAGACTGTCTTTTACAAAGCTTCAAGAGAATTCCTCTCTTTCGTTCTTTAAGAGCATATGAATTCAAATGACAACTGAAAATAAATGAAGACAATAACTTGTACATATTTTTACTGAGTTGACCTTTTTCACACTTCGGATACCACAAAATATAGATCCATTATTCAAAAAGACTTACCAAATGGTATATTTGGGTTTGAGGGAAGAGCATCAGAGCTCTAAGTGTTGCCTATGCTGACTGAATTATTCATCAGGAAGATTAAATATATAGCTGAAATAGCCAGGTGCTGAAAGCAAAAGAAAAGGAGCTGGAAAGAAAGTTGTTCAGTGAGAAAGTGATGAGGTAACTGATGAGGAATAGAAGCCAGTTAATCAATCCGCCGAACTGGAAACAGTCACACACATCCAGATACACACACACACAAACAGGCTTTCTGCACTCTGTGCTTTCCGCCTTAATGTTGCAATCAAAGCCCTCCACAGCAGAACAGAGCTTCTACCACACGTTTTCATCAGGACTTCTCTGTTTTTCTGTCTTTACTTATCTCCACCTCCACACTGTTGCCATCAACACATCCCTGCACAATCACTCCTCTTGCTGCAGCATCTTTGTGTTTATTTTTTTTCTTAATCGGGGCTCTTTTCCAACTGTTCAACTGTCATTAGTCCTTTCTCCATCCTACTCTTGCCTTTGATTTAGGTTTAAAAATGTATAATACAGCATGTGGAATTTGGGGAAATAATGGTGCCCTTACTTGATTTTCATGTTTATTTACAGCTAATTACTGTCATTTTCAGCTTAAGAGCAAATTATATTAGGGTACGTATATACTAACTAAATATGTAATTTTACAAGGCCTTCTACAATATTTCATGATCCTCAAATGCTTTTAAAATTCCTTCCCTGTAAAAGCATGGGATTTTTCAATTTCAATTCATCAACTTGTTTGTTTACCCAAATAGAAAATAAAAGTGATAGGAAATATCCTCTAGTGTCCCATCTTGGGGTAATTCAGGTGTGTAGACAGCAAAGCAAATTGGCAAATGAAAGCATTCAGGTACACAACAGACTAAAAAAAGCTATGAAAGGCACAGAAGATCAAAAGTTTTGAAATTGGGATTAGAAAATAACACACTGCATCCATTTTCTTTTGCTATCTTTTTACAAGTAATACATCTGGAAGGTATTTATTGTACGTTTGTAGTCAGGATCTGAGTTTTTTTTTAGCTACTTGTTGCAATTACTGCTGAGTTACCAGCTTTGCACATCTAGAGATAAAAGCTTTTGATCATTATTTTCATGCCAAATAAGTAGACTGATTATGGATAATGGAAAACCCCACCCAATGTTGAGTATTTGGTACTCATCTTTGGGATTATCATATGTGTGGAAATTATGCTAACACACCAATGCACCACAGGGAGGATTGTAGGTTTAGGGAGATTATCAATTTTAGGTTTTCTCCAAACAAATACCCTGATCTACTAAGATCCCCATAAAGAAATGCTTTTATGCTTGTTTGTGCTAACTGAAAATTGCACGTGCTATTAGCAGGTGTATTATGGGTGATCTAGTAAGATTTTCAACTGATAACAGGTGCAAAATGGACAATTTTGCATTGCTGTCACTATAGTTTTGGAGCCTCGAGTGTATTTATTTTTTCCATCTCAAAGGCAACTGCAATTTACAACAGATGGCCTGTACGATTGCTATGCGGAAAAGATGCAGGAAGAGGTAAAAAGAAAAGGACCTTCTCTGTAAATCTGAACGTCATCTATAATATGACTTTAAGGCAACCCCCCCCCCCAGCAGAATAGGTTCTGGTATTTGATCATTTTAACTGTCACAACCTGTCAAGATCAAGATGTTCCAATTTCTAAAAGCAGTATTTCTAAGAAACATACATCACATCAGCTTTGCAGAAAACCTGGATGCTAGAAACTGTTTTTCAGTGGATGAGGAATATCTGCAGCTGTTTTGCCAACAGAAATTCCCCAACAAGACAATTCAAGGAGTTCAGAACAACAAAACGGAAGACAAAATATTTTATTCCTAATGCGTTAATTGAGTAAGAGGAAATATAGAGAGTAGATAGTTTTTTTGGTTAATTTTTGGGTTGTTTTTTTTTTTCATTTTCAAAGAAAAATCTTCCTTCCTCTTACCACAATGACTGCAGACATTTTTTTGTGTGCAAATTTGCACCTGACATTCAGATGTTCTAGAAACTGCACAAATCGTATTGCGATAGGTAAGTGAGAATATTTGCTAATCTTTATTGTAATATTTGACACGTTTGGACCATCAGCATTATGGAAGGTGGACCTGCTGTTGTATTGGGGTGCTCAGCACCACCTGGAGATTAACCCTCTAAAGGGGGTGAAAATGATTGTGGACTTCAGGAAAACAATCCCCCACATCCACTAGTTCCTGGTAGCCACCTTCTCCAGTTACCTGAGTTGGACCTAAAATCTAGTCAGAGCAAGTGGCAAGGTGCTACCATTAAAAAAAATAAATATCAATGCCACACATACAAATCCAAAAAAAGAAAAAACTGCCAAAAGTCAGTCCTCTTTTTTGCAAAACCTCACTGACTTTCTTTTTATGACATTTTTTTTTTTCTTTTTATGACATTATTCACACACACATGTAAATACTGTCACTACTACCGGTACTCTTCTTTTAATTTGTCCGTTTTCGTTACTTTAAGCATTCTTTCGACAAACTGTGGTTGTTTTTGAATGATTAAAGTCAGTGAGTCATTGCCTTATTTCCCTTTTTCTATTGTTCTTATTCTGTTAGTAACCTAATGATTTCTAACAAACCATAGTTACACACAGGTGGACTCCATCAATAAGTTGAACCCACACTGAATTTCATTTAAGGGTAAAACATTAATGGGGGATCAAACTTTTATTTGTACTATTTTTATTTAAAACACAACCCGTGATGCTCTCTTTTTTTCTTATGCTCTTTGAGTTGTTTTGTCACATGATTTTTGTCAAAAATACATTGAAGCTTACAGTATAATCAAAGAAAGCATGCAACAAGCAGGAGGTTTATTCGTTTACATTTAGGTCCAAACTATTTCTCAGTGGCTACTTGATTAAAAGCCTAGTTAAAAAAAAAAAAAAAAAAACTGGGTATCTTGAGATATTCACCGCAGGACGATTGATAGATAATGGAACTGTGTTTTAAATGAAACCCTGCGCATCAGGAGCGTCCATCCAAGCGGCTGCGCGCAATGAGCGCAGTGAGATGTTCCAGCGGGCTATAATGACAACTCCCGTAAGAGCGTGGGAGAAACATCACAGCCTGTTTCTGTGTCAACCCCCCCTGCTCCCAACACACACTCATGTAGCCTTGGGACCCAATAAAACCCAGATTTCTCAGCAAAAATCGAAATTTAAGCGCGCTCTGTGCGGGGCATCAAGCAGAGGGATGCGCGGCTGCAGCAGCGAGGTTCCAGTGACCTGGACAAGCTGCGCATAAACACGTCGGGATGAATAAAAAATAAAATATATTATGATGGCTGTTTGCACATATTTAAATATGTAAACAGTAAATTCTCGACACACATCTATGTAAAAGTTTCACCAACATAGTTCAGCAGTTGACCACAAATATAATCTCATAATAGTTAAGTACACGGTCATATATGTTTAAGAAAACGGATTACAACTATCAGCATCTTATTTAAACAAAAATCAGAAACATTGGATAATATGTGTAAATAAAAACTACTGACCTGCTGCGTCCGGATGGTGCGCTCAGTGACGCATGTCTGCAACCTGCAGGCTGAGAGAGTTGATTTGAAGCTGCATCCCCCTCAGCCCTGTGGTGTATGGCTCACAGAGGTTTCCCTCTAATATGGACCTCTTCCGGTAGGTTAGTGTCATTGGGATTATGAAAATGTTTTTACTCTGGAGTAACTTTCTAAAGGAGTGGTGAGGACAGTCTGCACCAAATCTCCTCTGGCTGGGACAGTCCGCCAACAATTTCAGCTTTTTTTTCCCCCTTTCCACTTATTTAATTTAACCAACAGGATCTGGTTGGTTGCTGCTGTCTGTTCAAAAGGTTTTGAGTCAGTCTTTCTCCTCTCTCGCTTCTCCCGAGTCCCGCCTATCATTATAACATCATCTGATCTGTACGGAAGAGGATTAGGGACACTGGAAAAAAAAAAAAAAGTTGACTGATTTTTACATATTTCACTTTATCTCAGAATTCCAACTTTAATCTGAATGCTCAGATTGCTGAGATGCTTTTACAGTTTGGTTAAGTTATACTACCAGAAAAGGTGAACTTTCATTGCCTGAAAATAATAAATCTCCCATTATACATATATGAACACACATGAGCTGTGAAAGTAGGTAAGCAAATCTGCTTCACAGATTAAGAGAGCCACTGAACTTTAAAAAAAAAATAAAAATACAAAGCTGGTTAAATGAAAGGCATGCCATCTTTAACGTTTATGAAACACAGGTTATACCATTTATTACAGTTTACATCAATTCACTCAGTTCTCCATCACAATAGAAGAAAAAAAAAAAAGCATTGGTGAAATGAGCCACATTTACACAAATGCTAATTAATCTGACTTGTCTTCTTCAAGACAGAAACCCAATTTTGTTCAAATCTGTCCTGCTTCTTCTGTTACCTTCCTGCAAAACTAGCACTTCTGCCTCCAGCTGTAACTAGCATCTTTCCATTTAATGGCTTGTAACCATCCCCCACGCTCCTGCAGCTGCTGGACCTTCCCAGTATTCCTCAGTCCTCTTCTTCCGATGGCAGCTGACAGGACGGTATAGACCAGACGACAATTAGGGAAGCGTGGGAGAGACAGCTGAACCTGTTGCCAATTACAGTGACTATGATCTGGAACCACATATAAAGCCAGATTAATGGGCTCCCAGAGCACGGCAAAACTCGCTTGAGATTTACTTTGTTCAGAGCTTGACTATCAGGCACAGAGGAATAAAACAAGGTGCTTTTATTTATTAGGTTTCCTTGGGAGCAAGTTACATAGCAGTAAGAAAAAGTGCATTCTTAGGAACGACCCATCAACATTCAAACAAACCATAACAGCAAAAAGAAAAGTTTTAAATGTACGACACATTATAGTAGCCAGCAACAAACTGCCTTATGTGTTCAATGTAGGAAATCTACACTGGGAGCTAAATCTAGGAGATAGCATTACTTCCGTCTTCTGAATCAGTAGGAGATCTTCCCCAGCAGCCTGCTCTGGAGCTGCCTGATCCTGCTCTCCTGTGGCAATGCCAGTCTCTTCTCAGCCTGCTCCTCTTCCTCCAGCAGCTGCTCGATGTAGCAGGAGGAGCCCAGCAGAATGTGGCCTGTGGCCTGCATGGAGAAGATGGTCCATCGAAGAGCCTCCCTGCAGGCACAAAGCAAAGGCAGAATGAGAAGGAGAGCAGGCAGAAATAGTCATATCCCTTGTGAGGGAGTCAAAAATATACAGCTCTGATGCAACATGACATACACAAACAGTTTTTTTGTACCGGTATTTATTTATTTTTTTTTTAACATGACTAAATGGATACATGCCTGTTAAGGTGGTTTAAAGTAAAAAAAAAAAATTCCATATGAAACTAAACGCAAATCTGATCTCTTGCGAATAGGTATTGATTGGGGGTATGCTGGTCTGAGCGGGTATGCTCATCTGACAGAACACCGAGTGTATCGCACTTCACAAAAGTTTGACCCTTTGAAAAGCTATTTCCGGCATTTTTATTTGGAATGCATGTTAGAACACTACTTTTATCCTGATTATGGGAAGCATGACATTGTTTGGTACAATATTATGTTTCATAGGTTAATCGTGGTGCACAGATCCCATGAGGAAATGAAGATGTAAACTAGTTTGACTCTACAGATTCTAAATATCAACAGTCCATTTAGTTTTCCTCCCAAATCATTGGTATGCACCAAATTATTTTCAACCATGGATTAGAGTCTGCAACCTTTACTATCCAGAGACATTTTTGCATCAGTTCAGCTTAAGATTAACACACCTCATATCCCCACACATATCAAGTACTACAATTACATGGCCCCTTTTTTTAAATAAACATTTTATTCATATTTTTTAGGTTTTAAAATATGTAAATATAAATTCAAAAGAGGACAAAGCATTTTTTTTCAGGATTTGGATAATGGGACCTCAAAAGTATGTAAACCTAATGTCAAAAAATACAAAACAAAAAAAATATTACCACTTTTAATTGCATTGTGCTCTGCATAGGCAATGTATTTCTAGCATTCATTGAGGGAAAAACAAAAATCTTACAATTTAGAACAATCTATTCTTAGTCAAACCGATTAAATAACCATCTTGAAATATTCAAAGAACAACTGGTATCAGTTGCTATCACAACCGTCATCACTGGTGGTAGACCCTTTGTATACTGTACAACCAAGCTCCATGTAATACACATTAAATGCTTGTTCTAAGGTCGAAAAAAAAAATAATAAATTCTAAAAGTGGTGTGAATTCTTGAAAAAAAATATTAAAGCCATTTTAAGTCTCCACAATTCTAAGAACTATTTTCCAAAGTCTCACATCTTTTCAACAGCAGTATCTGTATCATATTTGACAAGTCTGCAAACCATAATCCTCTTTGGCTGAGGCTCCGTATCAAAGCTGAAAACCAGCCGATCTCAGCAAAGATGACATAACGCCCCAAATTTAATTTCACTAAAATCTGACCAGGTTGCCACAAACAGAAAACAGGATAATAAAGTCCTGTTTCCATTTCAGGTGCATCTAACAATCCTGGACATTTGTACTTTGGAGAAATAAAATATAGGGAAAGGGGAGAAATTATAAAGCACAAAAACCAACAAGCTGGTTTACAATTGATAGATTAGATGAGTCCATATTGTCAGAGTTCAATAATAGGTCAGGAGTCCTTTTCACTGTTAAACTAGCCTCCAGGCTCACTTATGAAGATTTTAAACAGACTGCTTCTCAGTCAAGTAGAAGTCTTGGAAACCTTTCATATCTGCACCCATTGCAAAGACAACAGTCAGCCGTTACTCACTTGAGCATCTTTTTGGCTGCATAGCATCGCAGGTCATAGGACACAGTGTAAGCACCATACAGTGTTGCCTTCACATTCAGGCAGCCTATGAAATCTTTAGGATTGTTTTTGTAGAGGTCAAAGGTCAGCTTTGCCACATCAGTGCGGTGATGCTGGTGGCGCTCAATGGACCTGAGCCTGGAGGGGCTGTTCTGCAAAGGGAAAGGAGAGGAAACACAAAAGTAATAATCTGATGAAACACAGTTCATCTACACAGAGGTCAAAGGTGGATGACTAGAGGGAGGTTACCACAGTAAATATTTATAACGAGGAAGTTCTTAAACGTACATCACTTTGAGCGGATGTTTGCTGGATTACATAATATTCTAATCTTTGACTGACATAAAACCATTTGCCCTTAATTCAGGTTTTGAATTATTGAGGAAGTAACAAATGTTTTATTTAGTCTAAAAAAGGTAAAATGCCAACTCTTTTTAAGCATTTCCGTTTAACCAGTGTGAAGCTAAATTAGAAAATTTTCTGCTCAAATCAAGACAGCATGTTAAGGTGCTGGATAAACTGCTGAATGCTGCCATCTAGTGGCCATGCAGTGAACTAGAGCCTTACAGGATGTAGAGCCCACTTCTGTCCCTTTTCCAGGACCATCAGAACTGTGTTTTCTTCCAGTGTTTGGAAGAACTCCTCAGTTTCTACACCGGTGCCATCCTCATCCAGAACCAACGCGCTGATACACTGTACACTGAAAGAGTCACTGACCTGGTGCAAGCAAAGGAGAAACACACATTTAGTAGATACAAGAAATACAAGAGGATTTGAGACCACCCAAAATTAAACAGTTACAGTAATAGAGATAACATATGCTTCAAGTGACATGCACTTCCAGATGGTCTATCAGTAGCATGAGGGGAAGAGCACCATCGATCACCTTGCAAAGCCATTATTTTTTAAAAGTACCAACCTCTGGTTTCATTTATAAAAATTGAATGGGACAGACTGACAAATAAAATAAATGATGCATAGCTGTAAAGTTGGAAAGGAGATGCCCAGACCTTTGAGTTTAGTGCTCCAATAGCCCAAAATAAAAAGCAGCGTATTCAATTTCCTTCTTTAACAGACTTTGTAAACTGTATACCTGTTTCATTTGATTGCAGTTAAGGAAAAAAGTAATAAATACAAAATCAAACATGCACAACCATTCATTAAAGGCTTTAGAGATTTATAAGAACATTACTGAACAAATATGAATCCAAGGAAATCGGGAGACAAATTAAATAGAAAGGTCAAGGTTTGGTTAAAATAGCAAAAACAAAGACATCTAAGATATATTTTTCAACCAATCACCATAGAGAAAAAAAAAAAAAAAGTCTGGTACAACTGCAAAACTACAAAGATACAGACATGCACCTAAACTGAGGCAATGAGACCTTTAACCAGAAGAAACATAGGACCATAGGAGACTGTTGAGAAGCAACAGGTATCAATGCTCAGGGAAGGACATAAGGGGATTTGAAATAAGTCATTAAATTCACAAAATTTTAATTTGCAGTTTTAAAATTAAAAAAAAAATAATAATAATTAGGGCAGATTTTATCCATGGGTTTCAGGATAGAGGGGAACAGAGCAGATTCTTATAAAAAAAAAGAAAAAAAAAGTTGATGCAACATATGATTTTCCTTCAATTTCAGAATCATGTGATACTCTTTAGCCCCATTAACACTAACCTCTGAAAACCAATCCCTGCTGAGTTCAGACTGAGCTTGGATCAGTCAACCATGCCAAGCTTGGTTCCTTACGACCATTTATACATCACGCTAGCACAGTTCCTTGCCTCCTAGTGACGATCCTGTTACTACTGCCCTCTAGAGGCAAACAAGCAAATCAAAATGCTGATGCCCACAACATTCAGGAAGTTAGGTTATAATTGTGATATTTCAACGTTTGCAGAGAGTCAGGAGAAGAAGGCAGCCTTCGGTGAATTTATTTGACAGAGTCAGCTTTTGGGACGTGGATACGGCAAACGATAGTCTAATCAGGGCTTACAGACGCAGAAAATGATGACAGACGTTGAGGTTCATCCCACTGCTAAACAGAATCATCACTGGAGACCGTGTGGCTCACTAGGGAAGCTAGTATTTTTATCAAGGTCTTGAAATTTCATGATTACAGAGGCTGACTGTAAGGAGATGACGCGGTCTGCTAATGTGCTCTTTTTATCTGAGAACTGAGCCAGAACTGAACCGCGATGAGTCCTACTGATTAACTAGTACCAGTTAAACGTGGTTCGGCACGTGTCTGGCACGGTCTAGTTCAATGTTGTATGCCATTTACACACAACAGTTATTATGGTTTCCGGATGGGTCAGATCGATCTCGACACGGTTTCAGAAGGGTAGAGTAAATGTGGCTTTTGTTAACTATTACTTCCAATTCAAATGAAATCTATTGAAATTTGCAGTCATAATTTGTATAATCTTTTACAGACTCAAAGCAGCACCAGGCCATCATTGCTACATTTTAATCCTTGGTAAACAGCAATCAGCTCGTAGGCCTATTTAGCTTGTCTGTCTTCTCACCTTATTCATTAGGTCCAGCAGAGCATCTGCCATTATCCCCTTCTTCAAACTGCGGTCTGCATTGGTTACCCTGAAGGGCTTTGGTCGAGTATTTCGGCCAGAGAGAAGCTGGGAGGTAACCGAGGCGCTGGCTGAGACACTCGATGTCACAACCCTAAAGGAACAGAAATGAACAGAATGAACAGAAATGGCTTAATGGAAAACCTACTGAAGGATAATGGAGCACAGCTCTTACTTTGACAGGGAGGATGGAGTCAAAAGGCTTAGAGACTTCATGGCATAATCCATGCGAGAGGATTCAGTCCTGCAATTAAAGGCAGAGGTTTGCTCACAGCTACTCTTTCAATGAAAGCTGACATCTCTCTAAAACTAAATGGCTACACCTTAAATGATAACTCAATATTTCAACTAAATCCTAGCAAAATAAGTTGCAGTGTTTCAGACTTTGAGATCCAGTTCATAAAGATTTCATTTAATAAGTTTAGATATCTCTGTGTCCTGATTGGTAGTACTTCCTGAAATATGTACAGTGTTTAATAAACATTGTCTCAAATGTAAAGCAAATACCTTTTGATGAGTAAAAACATCTTTTAAACCATGAAAAACAAAAAAAAAAGCAAATGAAAAAGTCTTACATTTAGAAAGAAATAGAACCAGTAACCAGCAGCTGTGTTCAGATTCCTCTTTTAGTATTCCTAACGGAGGCTGCTTTCTTCCTCCAGTGCGTATCCAAGTTCAGTTCGACTCATAAACCACAGCATTAATACAGACAGAGGTGGTCAAATGTGCCCGTTTCTTGCAACACTTTGTGAGTGAACTTTGTGCTGATGACTGTTGAGCTGGTGGTGGGTCGATGTTGAGAAATTCTCCACAGACACTCCCACTGATGTATGATCACATTTTGACCCAGCAACACACAGTGAGGATCCCATAGATTTTAGCTTCCCAAATGGCAAAAAAAAAAAAAAAAAATTTGAAAACTTCTTTTTTTCATTAGGTAATTATTTTATTGTAATGCCACATTTGACAATGAAAGAAATGCAACATGTCCCTGCAGTAGTGTTTAATACTGCAGTTACCAAGGAAAGTTTTGATGCAATGCTTAGGTTAGAATAGGCCTTCATCCAGAGGCGTAGCCAGAAAATCTTTATAAGGGTGGCCAGGCAATAACCAGTGACCACTGAGTGGTGGCCGAAAATTAATAGGCACCAGAACCTGAGGGTCAATCTACACTGTTCCAACAGGAAAATTAATGAGCAAAACATCCATATTTTCTAAATAAAGAAACTATACTTTCCTACAGCCTTGATTTCCTATAGCCAAATAGATGCATACATTTAAATATCCATGCTTGGATAAAAAGTGAAATCATAGATAAATAACTACTTTAATAAAAACTTAATTTATGTAGATATTAGTACTTGTAAATATCAATTTCATGCAGAATGATTGTTGATAAAAAGTAGGCAAGTAATGACGGAAAAGATGTTTGCCCAAACCTCAAACCTGAAAGAATTTTATCCACTATAACCTTTTATCTAGAAAGCACGGATGTTTGAATATACTTGGCTATTTGTCAGCAAAGGCTGTAGGAAAGTATAGTTTGTCATCATTTAGAAAATATGGATGTTTTGCTCATTAATTTTCCTGTTGGAACAGTGTAGATTGACCGGGAGGTTTTGGTGCCCATCAACTTTTGTTCCCCCCTCAGTGGTCATTGGTTATTGCCTGGCCACCTTTATAAAGATTTTCTGGCTACGCCTCTGACCATGAGTAATATAGACGTCAGTGCTGCATCAGGAATTAGATAAGGTGAGTTCAGAACACTGCAGCGATTATCATGGCGGAGAAGGTAGACATATGACCCATCGATATGTAAAACAAACAAAAAAAAAAAAAATGGGGGGGCGGTGTATAAACAAGGAGAGATATTGAAACATGACACTACAGACAAATTAGCCTAACTTACTTGGTTACAATTAAAGACGAACTTAATCCGGTGGAAGAAGTTGATAAAGCATGAAGTGGATTTAAACGCAAGAAAATGCACGACAGAAATATTCAGATAACGTTTAAACTTACTTTAGGACTTGCTGCTCAGGTGAAGAAGCTCCCAAATGCGCCGACTCCTGGGTTTGCCCCATTTACACAGCGGCCCAAGCTTGTGACTCTTCAAGTGGGCGGAGTTTACTGCGCCATATGAACCGGCGCAGCAGCCGGCGCACAGCTCGACCACCAGCAGATTATTGATATTTATTGGATTTATTTTTTCTTTGTGTTACATCTTGTTTTTGTTTACAACTGATGACACATTATCACCTATTTGCTTCGAGAACCCGCGTATTTTTAAACGCAACAGTCTCCCTGCGGGGCCGCCCTCATCGCTTCAAGCTAGTTTCTACACCGGCTAGTAGATGAGAAGCAGCTCCGTCGCTGATAATTATCAACACCTGAGTTAATTAACTAAAGGACGTTACCAGCCTGTCTTTTCTTGATTAATATTATTTTACACAAAGTTAAAGAAAAAGGTTTGCACAACAGCAACAAAAAAACATTCTGAAATAAATTATGGACGCAAATAAATCTGCGTCTATTGTGCTACTCTCTGGTATTTCTATAAATAGTATGTTGCTACATATGAATTAAAGAAGAAGCTATAAAAAAAAATTTCTATAAAGGCGCCTAAAAAAATGGTAACTTTGCATATCATTTCTAAGGGAATACTGAATACTGATACGGAAAGATATATTCCATAAAACAAAAATATTAAACATACAAATATAGTCCATAAAACAACAAAGAATGTTTACTTTTTATCGTGCTGTATAGTGTTGAAATAAAAATATTTCCATTTAGGTGTGTATGCGTTAAAATTACAAATGACATAAAAAGATAACCATCAAGTGTAACTAATGCATTTACGATACCATTATATGTATAATATAGTGATCATATCTGAAAAGAATGGTAAGTACATATTTAATCAGACCCTAGTCCAAGATTTTCTAACCATCAACAAAACTGAGGGCAAATATAAAGCTATTTTATTTTAATTAAATTTTTTTTGTTTGTATGGCTAAGTTATTTTCTTGCATCATACTAATTGCTATTGCAGAACAGTTTTTGTTCACATCAGTCTGAAGAAATTGTGAAACTGAAGAGGCCAAGTAAGTAAATGTCACTGGAGCACACTTATTAGATAAACTGCCAGGGCCTCTTAGTAAATGTTTGCTGTGGTGACTGTTTTTTAAAAACTGGTTTGATTCTATATGTCAAGAAGCTGTCAAGTAAGAAAATAAGTTCCATAGGAAACTAACCTTTGACCTTTCATTTTAGGTGGGTTTTGTTGGAAAGTTTAGCTACTTATTCTTTACCTGAATGCTGTTGTTTCTGCAATATCTTCCACCGACTCATATAAGGTCATATGTGTTCCTAAAGACAAGAGGGTAGAGAAGACAAATTAACAAATGTTATGAAACAGGGGTTATGTTGAGGCAGCTGTTGGTGTACTGATACATCAGCCAGCAGACATTTTTATCATGTAAGTGAGGAAAGAAACAGCAACGCTGGCTTCAAAAATCAACAGCACATATCAAGGATTGACTGATTTTAAAATAATCTGTAATGACAGTGTTGTTTAAAAAAAAAAGAAAAAAAAAAGCTGTATCTGTTGATCTCTAGTAGCAGCATAGTATGCGGTTATTTCTCTCCTCAGCAGAGACGCTTGTTAGAGCAAATATGAAGATGAATGGAGATGAAAATAGCGCTATGCTGAAAAAAAACAAATTTTTGAGAGGCTGCAAAAGACTTGAAGCCGGAGGGGAGGTTTCCCCGCCTGAGATGCAACGGTTTAGGTTAAATAATTTTTTCCAGGAACAGCCCACTCAAAGTCTAGGCCCAAAAGCAACTAGGAGTCGGTGATAGGATTTAATCAGTGACTGCTGATCAGAGATGCTTTTCATATAATCTGACAGATATCAAGTTGTGTTACAAATAAGAATGGGTAAATGGTAATTAAGAATAATTAATGAATTCTAAAGATGTGTTAAGCTTATACAGACATAGTCCCATAATCCCTGCAGATAATTGCAACAAACCATGAAGTTTTGCTTCTAGTGGTTAACCACCTGCAATCGTTACTTTGAGAATTCAAAATTGTCCTTCTCATGTATAAAGCCCTTAATAATCAAGCTTCAGAGATCTAATTGTTGCTTAGGTCCTAACAGATCACTTTATTCCCAGCAGAGGCGTCAAGTAACGAAGTACGAATACTTTGTTACTGTAATTAAGTACACTTTTTAGGTATCTATACTTTACTCCATTACTTATTTTTCTTCCTACTTCTGACTTCTACTCATTACATTTTCACACAAGTATCTGTACTTTCTATTCCTTACATTTTCAAAAGTTTAAAAGTTACTCGTTACTCTTGGCTTCTGTTTAATGTTTATAAATATTTATTTCACGTGATGTGTGCCATCCAATGCAGATCATTGGTGTCATCCATGTCTAGTGAAAACTAGTGTAATTGGATGAGTCGTATAACGCAAACACTCATTGGTTAGCTATAGGAAATCATCAGAAACAAGCAGGTGTTCTTCAAACTGCAAACGTGAATTGTCTATGCCGTGCTACAATTTTAGATTCAGAAAAAGATGTTACAATGTCTGAAAGGTCGGACACAGGCGAGAGCATATCAGGAGACGGAGACCAACAAGACCTCCCTCACCCTTGGCCCTATCTCAAAGAATTTTTCGAAATAGCTGAAAAATTGAGCTTTCAATACATATAGTGGCATCTGGCTGAGTTTTTTAAAGGTCACTTTATACTTTTATACTTTATATAGTTTTTGGAGCACATGTTTTCACTTTTACTTGAGTAAAGATGTCAAGTTGATATTGCAACTTTTACCAGAGTGTTTTTAAACTGCAGTATCTATACTTCTACTTAAGTAACAAATGTGTGTACTTTTGACACCACTGATTCCCAGAATTCAGGTCTACTGGTGGTTTCCTATAGTTTTTAAAGAAGTAAAGGAAACAGAACTTTTAGTTTCAGACTCCTCTCCTGTGCAACCAACTACAAGCTTTTAAAAAAAAAAAAAAAACGTTCCTTTTTATCATAAAGCTTAAAGTTAGGATGGGTTGGGTTATCATTCACTACCCTCTGTAGTTATGCCAACTTTGTTTAACAACACCACTGAGCTGTACTCTAAACACTGCATACTTTACAGAACAGCAATCTTTATTACTCACACATTTTTTATTTTTTTTTTTTACTGAAAGATAACCTCTAGAGAGAGACAGGGCCAAAGACAGTTGTCAGTTGACAAATCCATATTGATCCTTTTCTCTTGTCACCTTGAACTTAGTGATCTCTATTTGTATTTTTCGTTCTCCTCTGTAGTTACATCTTCCTTGCCATTCTGTTTAGCTTTGAGGCCATCCTAAAGGGGGGGTTCTAGCTGACCTACTGCTGCTGGTGATCTACAATAGGTGATAACCAAGCCCCTGTCTTACAAAGGTTAACTGTGTCTCTTTCATAGACATTGGTTGAGCTTTTACTGGGACAAACCCTGTCTGATCTCTTTCATCTTTTTTAATCAAATACTGGATCACAACTCATCTTAATAGCTGTTTCTCTCTTAGATAAAGCCATATCAGGAGCTAATATCACAAAGATTTCTTGCTTTTCCTTTTACATAGAAAGTACTTTGTGTGTTCCTTCTGTCTTCTCAGACCTCCAGTTGATGTGGCAGACAAACGATCAGACTTTACCTGCTAGTTCATCTGGAGTTTCTTCCTGT